GAAAATTGGAGGTGCATGCCTGTCCCGAATGAGTGCTGTACGCAGGAAAATTTTGCCGTCCCGTGTCTGTTCTGGTACAAACATTTTGCCATGCTGGAGGCCCAGTTGCTGGGCGGCGTTTTCTTCTCGGATGAGGTCAGCAAGGTCGGCACCTTGCGGAATGTCTAGCTCGGTCCATGCCACCGCTGCAATCGTTGGCTGGATCCTTTCTGGAGGGATCAGGGCTATAGTACGCTCCTCCAGCTCCCGGGCTTTAACTGTTGGCAGCTCTGTTGTTTTGCGGGACAGTGCGTCCGCGCCGATGTTCTGTTGTCCTGGCCGGTAGGTGAAGGTGATATCGAAGTTCGACAAGAAGTCTGCCTACCGGACTTGCCGAGTTGAAAGGACCTTCTTCTGCGAGTTAAAGGCTAGGGCCTGGTGGTTTGTGACGACGAAAAACTTCATTCCAAGGAGTTCGGGATAATAATGCTTTAATGTTTGCACCACAGCAAGCAGTTTTCGGTCTTGGATCGGGTAAGTCGGAGTACCCCCTGTCGGCCACCCCCCCTTCCGGCCACCTCAAACAGGCCCACTGCCTCAGATATGGCCACGTCTTCAACCCGCCGTAAATCCCTCAATTTTGATCCGTTTTCCATACTCTTTACTGCAATCCAATGCTCATATGCCAGAGAAACAGTATACCGAAGAAGACGTCGAACGGGCCGTCGCGGCCGTACAGGCAAAGGTCCCTATCTCGCGGGCCGCCCGACTTTGGGGCATACCGAGGACCACCCTACGCCGGCGTCTAGCGGGATCCCTGCCCGGCCGACAGGCACAAGAACCGTATCAGCGGATACCTCCGGAGCAGGAGAAGCGCCTAGCAAATTGGGTGCTTCTTCAGGCCTCCCTGGGGCTCCCACCGACGCACGCAGAAGTCCGCTTTTTTGCGCAAGAGATCCTACTTCAACAGGGAGACTCCCAGCCCCTAGGGAAACACTGGATACGCGGTTTTTTAGGCCGATATCCGGAGATCCGTCCTGGGAGAACACGGCGCATGGAACTTGCACGGGTTAAAGGCGCTACTACTACTATAATAAAAGAGTGGTGGGCACGCCTGCAGGTCCCCGAGGTGGCCCGGATAAAGCCGGAAAATACGTACAACGCTGACGAGGGGGGCCTGCAAGAGGGTAAGACGGGTAACGGGCTTGTTCTAGGCCTTGCAGAGGCCCGGCCTTTGCAAAGAAAAGAGCCTGGAACCCGCACTTGGACCTCCTTTATCGAGTGCGTTTCGGCCACGGGGGTCGCCCTTCCTCCGCTTATTATATTTAAGGGGAAAAGCGTGCAGGAGCAGTGGTTTCCAGAAGATCTAGGCCCTTTCAAAGGCTGGGAATTCACTGCAACAGATAACGGGTGGACTACTGACGGTACTGGAGTCGAGTGGTTGCAAAAAGTCTTTCTCCCGGGCACTCAAACCCCCTGCCCCTGCACCACGTCTTCTGATACTGGATGGCCACGGATCCCACGTAACCAAAGAGTTTATGTTTCTTTGCCTGCAAAACGACGTTTATCTATTATATTTACCTGCCCATACCTCCCACGTTCTGCAACCTTTGGATCTATCCGTTTTCAGCTGTCACGATCAGGGCGAGTAGGCTTCGCAGCCAGGTTCAATTGATGCTA